TCGCTACCTTCACATATACTAAATTTCGCATCAATTGACGTGAATAGACGACGAAGGTAAACGACACATCCAAACATAATTATCATGACACGGATGTCGTTTACGCTATAATTTACCTCCACCTCGTAACGTTGTGGTGATTTTGAAGTACCATATCCACCTTCCTTATTCGTGTTTCGCATATCATCGATTCTCACTGCGCGTGGGTTCTGCCAATTTTTCGCAAGCCTGAATGAGTGGCGTCGTCTGGTGTCTTCTTTTGAACTATTGCGAGAAGGAGGGAGTGAAACCGCCACCTTAAATACAGAGTTGAGAAGCCTTTTGAGCATGCTGACCTGATTGCACTGTCAGCAACAAGTGAAAAACGCTAGGACAATCGTATTAGCAGTGAAGTAAGTGGTTCTTAGCCAAGCCTTTGTTGTCCGGGTTAGTGGGCACCGTAAACGGGCCACTAAAATTGAGAAATCACATTGCACACAACTTCCACTATGGATAAAGAAGGTAACAGCTAACCTATAAAATATGGCGGGCGCGTTACCATACTCCAATCACTGTCACGTGACACTTTGTTGTTGTAAAATGCGGTAGCAATACTACCACCTCAAAGCTTAACGAAAAGTGTTTAATAAAGAGCTGTGATAAACATATTTGATGATATAGAACGAAGGCTTCTTTGTGAATTTGTGCGTAACGGCACATTCACATTTCAGAAGCAAAGCGAAACGAAAACGCCAGAGGGACCGGAATACCACGTCCGCGCGCCTTAAAAATGGGAAATTCACTCGAGAATTGTCTTTGTGCTACCTTTTCAAAATGAGCATTATGGACTCAGCGCTTCTTGTCTCTGCATTTCTTTTCCCTGTGTCTTAGTGCTGCACAGTAAGACGTTGATTTGCTTTCACGTGGTGAAAAAATCGGTCTCGGACCAATTTTTTTCACATCAGTTTCGCCGCGTAGTTTTTCGGTTGCTTAGGTGGCCAAGCGAGATAATTTTTGTTGAGTTTTGCTGCTCTCGCTTCCTTCAACGCCAAGTGTGAACGCGCCTTAAGGGTCCATTGGTCAAAGTGCAATAAAGCGGTATTGCCACTTCGAAGCTGCAGAATGAGTGTTCAAATAATGAGCACAAAAACAACATATGTGAAAGTGTCGCAAAACATAGAAAAACAGTAGCCTGACGAAGGAACCAACACGACCTTCAATATTTCATCGGTGCCCTCGTAGCGATGTTGGGTGGCTTTTTTTATATTTGTCCTACAGCCCTGCGCAATTGAAATTTCGAGGTATCATGGTGGACAATATCGGCTTTGTACCGAATATCTTTTTTTTTCCTTCTTAGAAACAAAGGTCCTTAGGGTGTAGATAGTTCCCTCCCCTGTAGTAGTAGTAGTAGTAGTAGTAGTAGTAGTAGTAGTAGTAGTAGTATGTGGCCACTTCTAGTCAGATTTAGGAATTGCTAACTAGATGGCGTTTTGTATATATGTTGTTGGAAATAATATCACTAAATTGCGCTAGTGATTTTTGTAGCGTTAGCGGATGGACAGACAAACGCACGGACAGACAGACAGACAGACAGACAGGCGGACGGACGGATGGAAGGACGGACGCTTCATCCCCTCACCATCATTCACTCCACGAATATGCTGTGAATACTTTTCCTTTTTTCATTTGCAATGTCTCATAGGCAACTTAGACCTAAAGACAGCCTTAGCTAAGATGCGCAGAGGTACGGCTCCGGGTTGAGATTGTATGACAGCCAACCTGTTGGCGAATTTTTCAGACTCGACCTGTCTTCACAAGCTAGCATACATAAATCAGACTTGGGATATGTGTCCATTTCCTATTGAATGGGAGACCTTGTTATTCACCGTCATTCCTAAACCAGGCAAGATGGGGAATACCAACAACCTGAGGCATATCTCATTCACTTGATATGTGGGTAAAATTACGGAGAGAATGGTTCGGGATCTCCATTGATGGAATCTAAGGGCCTCCATGCAGACACTATGTTTGGGTTTCGCTCGCATATGTCTGCCCCGGATGGCCTTCTTCGGTGACACTGTGACATAATACAATCCACTGTCATGCGTTACAACAGGAAGGGCATCCTTGCTCTCAATCTGAAAGGTGCCTTTGATAACGTTCGTCATGGTAGCATTTTGGCAAACTTGAGCTCTTCACATTGTGGTGACAAGGCATTTGCTTACGTAAGAGACTTCCTCTCTAGCATCAGGCCTTCCTTAAAACTGGGAATTATGAATAAGGCCCATATACTATGGGCACAAGGAGTACTCCCCAAATAAGGAGCGGTCATGTCAACGCTCCTCTTCAATATATCCATGATGCAGCTTCGACATCAGTTGGCCCATGTGAAAAGAATTCATCACGCACTCGACGTGGATGATATAACAATTTGGACTGCTAAAGGGAGCCTTGAAGACATGGAGGACCGCCTCCAGAGGGGCGCCTTTATCGTCGATAGATACGCTTTCGGTTATGATCTCCAATGCGCTCCTACAAAATAGAGTTTCTGTGTGTCAGAGCCAACCCCAAAGAACACACGAACTTACGTATGTTTTCGATGGATGCTCCTGTCAGAAAGGTCAAGGAGATCCGGATCCTAAGCCTCTTGATCCATAACAGACTCAGATCGGTATCTACTATTACCAAACTGAAACGCATAGGCGAACAGATTGGGCGTATGATCCACTGCGTTTCCAACAAACGCGGTGGGTTGAGGGGCAGGAACGCATGCGCTTTGACTCGTTCATACCTTTGTACTGAGCCGGATTCTACACTCCGTACCTTACCTTCGCACTACGAAGCAGCACGACTAGTGCATCAACGCCATTACTAAGAAGGTGACAAAGCCTGTTTTAGACCTACCAGTAACTGCCTCAAATGCCATGTTATTGATTCTGGGGGCACTCCACTCTTATCAAATGAAGGAGGCCGACCTTGTCAACCAATATACGTCACTTTCGCAGGCGTTATCTCGGCACCGCCTGTTGGGCCGCCTGAACATACAACACGACTGCATTCCAGAGGAGACAAGCAGACTTTCTGAGCTGTGGCGCCACACGCTCTGGGTTTCTACCCTCCTCGAAACATGCATTCGCAGACACACGAAAGCTGACGAGGGGCGCATGCCTTGGCCCTCGAAAACCAATACGGATCTAATCGGGGTGTATACTACGTTGATGTGGCAGTGCCATAGCCCACATAATTCTACACGGCCGCCGTAGTTCACCAGAAAAAACACGTAAACGAGCTCTCCTGTAGGGCTTACAACTCTGCGCGCACTATGGAGGTAACCGAATCAGCACTTGCCGCCTCGCACACATACACTTCAGTAATAGTTAAAGATTCACGCAGAGACTGTGAAAACTATGTGGCGGATGAGGTGGCACCTTTAGCCTGCGATATTTTAAAGCCAGCCGTCAGTAATTCAGGCGCCTCACCCAAACTCATCGTTGGACTCCGAGCCACCAGGGCCTCAGAGATAACGAGGCTGTGGATGCGCCCGCCCGCGCGGTTAACCACTACGCGCCTACTCAGGTTTTTGCGGCACAAATACTTGCCAACCGCTTCTGCGATACAGAGAAATTCTGGTGTACTATTGCAAACTACATCGGCTTTTCCCGGTGCCTCCTAAGTGTCTGAGTAAAGCCGATGAACGAACCCTAAGGCGCCTGCAGACCAACACGTTGTTGTGTCCTGCAACAGTAAAGCATCTTGACCCGAAAGTCGATGGGCGGTGACCTCACTGTGGGGAAGTCTTCGATAACTTTGCACATGTTGTGGGCACGTGAAATGAATCCTTCTCTTCTTCTACTAGAGAGGCATGGCAGACAGCCCTACTCAATCGCTCAGGTCTGGAAGCTCAAAGAGATCAGGTTCATGCGGGCTCAGGTAGAGGTCTTGTCTATCTTGGTTCTAGAATAAGGGCTTCCTCTGTGTAAAGGGCCCTTGTGGGTCTGCAAACTCTTCATGGATAAATGTTTTTCACACACACACATATTGCGCTGAAGTGATCACCTCAAGAAACTGTTTTTACCATTACAAATTTCGTAAATCGTAATGCGAAAACAGCAACGATGACAGAAGCCATGGCATGAAAGGTTTAGTGAAATAAATCTAGGTCATGCTATCCCGGAAGGAAGCCCCCTTTTATTTGTTTTTTACAGAACAGAAGAACTTCATACGTTTTATAATAGATATGCTACTTGAACAGTTGCATCTCCCGTTTAATGAATGAATACATTGCCACGCAACATGCTTCTTGCAGTATGTGTCTCGTAGCAGAGTCCCACAATAAATGTGACTGTTTCGTGTGTGTGTGCAATGCCTGTAGATAAGTAAAAGCATAGTGCTTATCGCTGCAGCAAGGACAATAATAGTTTTAGACCACAACACTTTTTTTCTGCTCTCTTTCTTTAATTTTTTGTCTGGCTTTTCTTCTCTTTACTTCTGAAAACTTCTTGTATTCTTTTCTCCCACTTCAAATGGCCTCTAAATTCAGCCCGTGAAGCTCTCCTAAACATTATTTTTCTGGTAGGACGTTTTATGCCACAACAACTTCCTTTATTTTTTGCGACATGTCATTATCACTTTCTGTTTCTGTGATGTATTTTATTCTACCTAAATACCTCAATTTGCTAATCCAGTCCCTGACAACTAAGTGGGGTGAACAGCTGGGAGTATAACATACGACTGATTATTACAGTATTATGGTCACTGTAGTTTACGACTGAGTGTCTTCTTTCACTTAAAATCCCGAAATATTTACTTATTGAATAGAGTAATAAATAGAGCCAAATGCGTTACAGTATGTTGCAATAAAAAGACCACGCTGTTCACATCGATTCATTTGTAGCCACGTAAACATTACCATAGCAAAGAACGCCATTTTTTTTATTATCTTGACGTTATTTTTATATGACGTTGCTTGTTAGTAGTCTTTATACATGCAACGCCTGCACGGCGTCGAGCTGTAGACTCACCCTATGCATAAGATCCGGCCGCTGTGCCACGGCGGCGCACGACGACAAGAACCAGCAGTCGCCGAGGGCACCCTGGACGATGTCGTTGCGGCTCACTCCATTCACCAGCAGCTGCGGTTCGGAGACCATCTCCTGTACGACGATTAGGGTATTGCACCGTAAGCAAAAAGGGATCCTCAAACTCTGCCTTTAAGAGTTGAATGCGATAGCGATGTCCCGTCCCTATTGCGCAAACTACAGACGCTTACTGCGTACTTTTTGTTGCAAAGTGTTACACGAGAAGTTTAAACTGTATATTACTACATTGTAATTGATAAAGACGAAAGTGGCTTGTGTCACTGAAGCTTTCGCGTAAGGTTTCATTCTGTGTGATGGGTACCATGCTTTAATCAACGCGCGTGAAATTTTTTCCAACTTGCTATGCACCGACTACGTGTTCTTAAGAGAATACGTGCCCTAACGTGTGCCTTTTGTAATGGGCGCCCACTTCAAACCACGAAGTCATTATAATAATCGTATGTACAAGCGTATACGTTGCCTGATGGCAACGTACGCTTGTACCAAACAATATCATTGCGATTTCTCATGGGATATTGTTAAGCTTGTATACAGGTCGCATGTGTTTGGTAAAGCATAAATGTTTCTTTTTTTTCCCTGCCTTTTTACGCAGAGGAGGTTATTTTAGCTGTAACTCTAAGCCAACGAGTGGATGTGTGGTAAAGCACCTGCTTTCCACGGAAACGAGCTTGGTTCAATCCTCACTAAAAGCCGGAGATTTTTTATATTATTTTTTTGCTCTTTATTTATCGGTCACTCAAGGGATCATGTTTTTTCGTTCACAACCAAGGACGCCTACGCTGACGCCAGAGTGCCTGCAAAACGAGCTTTTTAACGCTATCTCGTTCAGAGCACGCGTGTGCTCTGAACATTCTTGAATGAGTTCAACTATGTTAATCGTAGATATTCTCTTGAACTTTATCGAGAATTGGTAAGAGGTAGAGTCGCTTTCGTGGACAAGGAGGACTTGTAATTTTCACTGTTTTATTTATGGCGAAATCTTATGATATCCTTTGGATTTGCGCGATTTGACTGTCATCATTGATGTGATATGGTACACATCAGTTACCCGTGATAGCTACACTGACTACTTTCTATGTGCGTGTAACTGACGTGTCTGGTATAAGTACCCGTCTTCCTCCTTTGTACCGGCTAGCAAACGAAGAAAACTTTGGTCAGCCTCCTACTCTTCTCATCTCTTTCTCCCATGTTACGTTATGTCACAATCCGTGCTGCTGGTAACATGCTATTAGAATAACAGCCACTTTCTGTGGCCTTTATTTCTTGGCCTTTGCTGGAAAACGGAATCATTGTTCAAAAGGGCCCTGTAACAGTCTTTCAAGTAGTCATAGAATGGATTCTCAAAAAGAGATCATTGCCTCACGAATTCACAGTCGCAAAAGTTTTTAGAATCCATCCGGTACGAGCAAAGCAAAGATTTTTCGCATGCTGTAATGACATTCTCTCTTGTTCCGACGAAAGCACTGGAAGCTAAGCGGGGAGGTTTGGCACGGGAAAACAAAAATACGTCGTGCGTGTCTCGTGACCTTGCGTACTGTCCCCCTCCCCCTTTTCTTTTCTCAGAATACGATATTTTCAGTGTGATCACACGCACACGCACGAAAATGTCCCTGCCTCTTACGCCGGCCCCAGTAACAGCCGAGCACACCGTGTTCAAATCAGCCAATGGCTGATACAACGGCTGCGAGGAGTGATTTTTGAGCTTGTAGCGTCATTTGTCAAGAAAAGAGGAAGCAATCTAGTTAGCTGACACTGAGAATTTATTGTGAAGACCAGGCCACGCGCTGCGCTATAATATTTTGCTAGCGTTTTTCAGGAGCCTCGACTTCTCATCGGCAGCGTTTCCTAGCTATGCTCAAAAAGCGTTCGTTACCGACGAGACAGTGGCGTAAGAATTCGGCTTACGTGTGGTCTGAGCCAGGTAACCCTTCCAGGAACAGGCCTGCGATGCGTGAAGAGTGACGACTCGGCAGGCGGGAAGTGACTGTCCACGAACAGCTCCGTCAGTGGCAGGTTCCGAATAGCTTGTTCGTCCTCTAGCGCGGTTTTCTGCACGCAGAAACAGAGCGCCTTTTGAGTTCCGGGATAACGCAGATGTGTAACTAGCGTTGTCAACGAGGCACTACGGTCTTTTGAGTGCACTCGTAGATATTGGAACAAAGTTCACAGCTGAAAGTCCGCCAATTGACATTTTTTTAATGATAAAAATTAAATGGCACTTTTTAAGCCTAAAAGACTGTTCGGCGAAAGCCTATGCCGTACTTCTCGTTCTTTTGGGGGAAGCTCATTAAGTCGTGAGTCCGGTGTCCGTGATGTATGTAGTAGTAGTAGCTGTAGTGGTAGTAGTAGTAGCCACTTCCACGGCCGGACTAGAGGAGCGGCCCGCACGCACTCTTTTGAATCGAGGAGGAAACCCGCGCCCATTAACCATAAATCAAAAGATAGTTCTTCCTGGTGAAATATTTAACGGAGACGAGTATCGGTGACTTAATTTCCAATCAAATATGCCTTGAATCTGATTCTTACTAAAATCAACGCACTTTGAGCACTATCTGACCAGAAAATTGCCCGCAGCTTCCCTCGGGGGAACACTGAGGAGGATGCGGACCATATAATTGGTTAACGGGGTGTTAAAGTGCGACTTACTTGGGTCGATGGCTAAATTGGTTAACGTGGTTGTGAAATGGGGTGTTAAATTGCGACTTACTTGGGTCGATGGCTAAATTGGTTAACGTGGTTGTAGGAGGGGGTGTTAAATGAGTGAACACGTACACACGTATGCGAAAGGGCGGCGCTGGTCGAAGGGACGTCGATCATTGTGTTTGTGGATTCGTTGGAATTCATTTCACCGCGACCTTGGACGTCGACGCGCCGTACAAACCAACCGACGAGCGGCAACTGAGCGAGCGAGCGCCGACCTTGAGTATATATACAGCGCGACGGCGCATGCACTGTCAGCTGTTGAATGTTCTCGAAGCGCGACGCCACATGCGCGTCCACTGGAGAATCAGGAGAATTGTAGATGTCGAACGCGGTTTGTAGAGGAGGAAGGGTGCACAGATGGTGGAGGAGTGAAGCGCGCGCGGTGTGTAGAGGAGGAAAGGATGCACAGATGGTGGAAGAGTGGGCGACGGCGCAACGGCGCATGCGCGCGCGTCAGCTGTCGAATGTTCGAGAAGCGGTGCGGACGGCGCGGACGGCGCACTACAAGGCGCGAGTATAAGATGCTCCGCATCTAAAAGTTTGCACGTTAAACTCACTGGGCGTAACCTCCTGGTTTTAGCAAGACTTAGCGAGGGTTGAGCCGCAGTGTCATGAACTAGCGACTGGAAAAGTGAGAAATAGACACGAAACGCAGGCCGATGGAGAGTGCGCGCGTGCCACTCCTCTAGTCCGGCCGTGCCACCTCTCGTTTAGTCCTTGAAATGTCCGCTGGATGGCGGCACTTCTATATGATGACTATATGATGAAAAGGTGCGAAATGGTGGTACTTAGAGTGTTCACTAGATGGACGGTCGGACGGACAGACAAACAGATGCATGAAGGGACGGAATACCGCATGTACGGATGGATGGACGCATGGACGGATGGACACATGGGTGAAGGAACGCACGCACAGACGGACAGACGCACGAACGGATGCACGGATGGAGGGACAGACGGACGGACGGATGGACGAACGCTGGAATGGACACACGGAAGGATGGATGGATGGATGGACGCACAGACGGACGCACGGATGGACGGAAGCGCGGACGGAGTGACGGACGCTTCGCCCCCACTCATCATCATGCACTCCGTGGATATGCTGGGATTTTCAGGGGCGAAACTTTTCATAACGGAACCCGTTTGTCCCTCGTAGCGGTCGTAGTGTGTAACAAGTATAACATTTTGACCTCCAAGGTGGTGCTGGTGAGAGATTTCTTCTGTGCGTTGTTGAACAATAAAAGATAGTGCTCAATGTACATGCCAATGGCTGCTAAGGGGGAATAAGAGACAGGAGCATTCGGCTTTCAGTTAACGCGACGCTGCGATCCCCATTAGCAGCCATTGGCATGTACATTGAGCACTGCCTGACAAGAAAGGGTTGCTACGTTACACTCGCTGGGTGTAACCTCCTTGGTTTTAGAAAGATTTAGCGAGCGTTGGGCCGCAGTGCCATGAAAGCAGTTAACTAGAATATACCATGAACTCGAGGTGGTTAAAGGTGGGAAGTAGACACAAAGCGCAAGCCATAAGAAAGTGTGCGTGTGCCACCTCTCTTTCAGTCCTTGGAATGTCCGATAGATGGCGGTGCTTTTATATGGGGAATATATGATGAAAAGATGTGAGATAGTGGTTTTTGGAGTCTTGGATAGATGGACGAACGGACACACAGACAAATGCATGGATGGACGCATGAACGGACGCAGGGGCGGATGCATGGACGAACGCAGCGACGGACGCACGAACAGACGCACGCACGGACGGGCGGATGGACGCATGAACGGCCACACAGACAGACGCATGGACGGACGGAAGCAAGAACGAATGGACGGTCGAATAATTCGTCCCACTCTCCATCATTCACTCCGTGGATATACTGCCATCATTTTTGTTTGTGTGTGTGTGCATGTTTAGCGTATGGTATATTGTTTAGTATCGGGTGAATCCAAGGAGGTTTAAGAAAATTGCATGAGTGGAAGCTCCCGCAATGCTTTGGCAGGAGTAGTGAAGCCAGCTTTTGCCCTCCAGTTCTCAGAAACCTGCTATTATCTGGTAATGCTCCCTTAGACATCAAGTGGCTTTGATCTGTCAGTCTAAAGACTACGTTAGTTAGGAATCAAAAGTCAGTTGTTTTCGAAGAAATAATCCGCAGAGACTAGTATCAGTGACTTAATCACCAGTAAAACGCGCCCTGAATTCGAGGCTTACTAAAGAAAACTAGTAATACAAGGACGCACTTTGAGCACTATATGACCCGTAAAAGCTGCCACGTTACACTTGTTCGGCGTGCGAGAAAAACGCTTCTTCTCATTCACCGGATGCCAACAGCTCATCATGCCCCTAGTAAGATGGCTACCACAGCCGGAATCCTACGGTTGGCCCGGCTTGACTCGTGGGCAAGAATTTCCACTCCAGCGTTGTTGTTGTTTTTTTAACCTACTTGGCGGATTCCACGTTCCTCGGGTACTTCACTGAACAACTTTAGCCACTTGCCGTGAAAACACCTGCCGGTGCGTGTGCCCTTCTTCTGTGCAAGACGGTACAGCTAGGAAATTTCACCTAAGTAGTGTTTATCAGTAAATATATGCATATGAATAGTTAAAGTCTCATCGTTAGCGCTGATAATATTTAGCTTGGCTGCGCAGTGATACCAGAATACTAAATGTCGTTTACCAGAAGGTTCAAGTATCCAAAAATAAACCAGTGACACAACTATGAGTCTCTGTTACGACAAGGTTCGAAATGTGTAGCTACAGACAGAGGGATGAAATATCAAAGTAAAGAGGCTGTGGCTCAACGTTGTCATGTATATTAGAGCAAATGTCTTCACTGTGACGTAGTGATGTTAGTCGTTAAATATAGATGTGCCGAAGTGTATATGCCCTGTTACTGGAATGGTATGAAGCCTTTGTGTTCTGTACATGCTCTAAATAAATTTTTTCTAAACACGCTCAGCACAAATATATACATGCTCACTTTTAGCGGGACGGCTCTCCCATAGTTGTGTACGAAGTACTCGAAATCGTTTAACATTTTTTCTAGACAAACAGCGCTATTCGCGCACGAATAGCGCTATAGCGCTACTTCCATAGGTTTGTTGCGTCCCATAACAGAATGACACTTTTTCTAAACACACATTCATGCTCAGGCCCACGATATGGCTTTCTGTTCTCCCACAGTAGAGTACATTGTATTGTATATCGTTAACAACGTTTTCTACACACACACACACACACACACATATTCCCACAGGACGGCTCTATGCTCTCCCATAGTAGAGTACATAGTACTCTCAATCGTTACCCACTTTTTCTAAACACTTATTTCGAACTATTATGCATCCTCTTGTGTGAGGCACACGGGACGGCTTTATGCTCTGCCGTAGTAGAGTGCCCAGTACTCTACATCGTTAACCACTTTTTTTAAACACATACAAACTGCAACACAATATATTGATGAGGCTAAGCACTTTCATTTTTCCCTTTTAGAACGCTAGTACTTGTCGTGATCGGTCTACACCGGCAAATTTTCCTACATGTGCCACACCGTCAACAGCCCCCCCCCCCTCTCTCTCACGCGTTTCACAGAAAGTTCAGAGTTTAATCAGCTAGTCCTTTGATCTGGCAGTACAGAATTAATATCGCTCCCCTCGTTAGCCCAACCGCGCAACCGAGGAGGCTTTATGTTTCCCGACGTGGCCATCAAGGGTTCCATCTTGTGCCTCCGCACTTTATTGCACGTTTTAAAGCGAAACTAAAGTAAAATAACAATTTGCGTCAACGAGAAAGCTGGCTGCGTTCGTATGGCTCCTGTGGACGCGCAACTAAATCTGTGTTTCTAGAGTTTTTTCGTCAAGTGTTCATGAACTGTTGCTCGCATCGGTTCCGAGAAGTCCTCAAAATCCTACCGATACCATATTTGACCACAGTTTGTGACTTTTTGTAAAGTTAGGAACAATTTTTGTTCCTGTGGAGTGGTAGCCTCTTTAACCCTTACGAGTGGCTTGGGAGACCGCGCTTCTTCTGAGCTTATTCTCGCCTGCGGCCGGCCCTTCGAAGGCCTGGTGCGCTGAAATGTTTGCTCACGATGGAGTATGAAGTGCACGGAGAGGATATTTCAGAAGAAGATTTTACTCAAGATAAAGGTTAGCAGGCGGCTGGGGCCAGAAGAGCTGTCACCAAAACACACACTGCTGACCCCAACGTGCCATCGTCGCAGCCGGGCGCACGCCGTGGCAAATCGAGTGGCGCTGCGCTGAAGTCCAAAGTACTACAGGTGGGAAAGATGCCCTCACTTCCTCGAGATGACATCAAGATTGTGATCCGGCCGCAAGGTGGACTCAA